AACCAAAATAGAAATCCATTCAGATAAGCCCACGGTAAGATGCAAACCTTATTGCAATTGTCATCAACCAAGTGTGGAGAAGATATTCCATGAGAGAGGTCATAAGTAGACAAAACATCTTTCAGCGTGCTGCTTATGTTTTAGCTCATAGAGATTCATAAAAGCTACAAAAGACGTAGAAGAAAGCTTGACAAGTAATCCTATCAAGCCCTGCCAAGCGCAAACAACATGGAACAATCAAATTGTCATTTAACAGGCAGTGAAATATGAATATAGCTAATCGCTGACCAATAATCAAGGAAATTAGCATACATTGTATATTGGCTGGGATACAGTAATCCGACTGTTCATTTTCATAAGTTGTGTGACTTGATTAATCAGCTCATGCTTACAAAGTTCCTCCAGCACTTCAGAAGATTGACACATTCTCTTGAAACCTTAAACTCACTTAATTTTACACTAGCGTAAATGAATCCCTCCCATATATGAGGTTTATCGGATGCAATTGTAGTGCATTGTCCCGCAAGTAATTGCCTAGTTAAATCTTGAAAAGAAAGAAAATAACTTTTCTATTAGAATTATGTATATTGAAGCTTTAATCATGTTGAACAAATTTTACACCTTGGGTGATTTCCTTTCAAGAAAGAAACTGAGCTTTGTGTTGAGCTCGAGCATGCTGGGCTTCCAGTACAGCTTCCGGTACAGGATCGGGACAAAACTCATCCGGAGTAAAGTTGCAGAGAATATCACTCAGGGCATTAAGAAAAACGGACACTTTATGTTCATCTCGATTTTGTCTGGAATCATCTCGACTGCAATGCTGGTTTTCTTTTAAAGCCTTATTACTATCAGTGCCAAACTCCAACCCGCAGAAATTAGCATCCCTCTTTAAGACTTTGCATATAGAAAACTACCGTGACATGATACATACATAATTTTTTAGCTGAGCGCCTGATCCGAAGCTAAGATCTTCGGCTGGAATTGGGAGAACTCTACGATAGGATCAGATCCAGGATCTGCTCGGATCTCATTGGCCGACTCCTGAAAAATAGCATTGAACATTGCTACATTTAACCTTGCACCACTGTTCCATAACCCAAACAAGACACATGCAGTGGGCCTCTGCTTCAGCGACAAAATTAGACTTAACAAAACCGGAGACGAATGCTGAGAAACGGATCAGTTCTTGAGGAATGCATGTCTTCCATTGAGCTCATGCTGACAAAAAGGAACATTCATCGTTAGATGATTGCAGTTAATTGTAAGATCATTCTGATTTAAAAGTGTAAAAAGCAATTAGATTAACTACCTCCTCTTTCTGCATCTAAATTCCCAGAAATACTCAACTGTGCTCCGGTAGCCACTGCACCTCTCTCTGAACATAGAAAACAAGTTAATCATATTCACAGCCTGGAAATAGAAAAGACAACATATTGTTGTAAAAGTGGATAAATGAATGAATGAATGATTCAAAAGATAAGAAGCACCAACCCCATTCACCCAAATCTTCGGGATGCGAGCGATCTTATGCCAATCAGTGCCAATGTCCTTCCCGCATCTTTTCTCCAAATGGGGCATTTGATGTATCCATAACTCTTCAAGCGAAGTGATATGTTGGAAGCTAGGAAAGAGTGACTTCAATCCACTGCAATTCCCAATTTCTAACCTTCTCAACTGAACAAGATGTTGAAGGGAAAGGGGGGGAGACACTAGTTGTGGAATATTAACAATCACCAAACGAAAGAGATTCATAAGGAGTTCCCATTGCATGCCCTCTAAATTGAGCTCCTTGCAATCTCTTATTTTTAAACTTTTGAGACTGGCCAAGTGTTGCAACCACCCATATAAAGACTTTAGCCAATGGCAAGAGGTAATGTCCAAATGATCAAGAGAAGTCATATTTTGGAGGCATTTCTCTAGCACATCAGGGTCCAGTTCCTCAAAATTCTCCACTTTGAGAGATTTCGATTTGGAGAGAGGAATGGGAGAGGTCGAGGGTGTTATATTCATATGAATGGTATGCTTTAACGGCCTTAAACTGGTATTCACCAACTTTAGCTTCTTATCAAGTGATGGATAATACAGCGGCATAGAAGTCAAAGGACAATCTTGAATACATAGCTCGGAAAGACAAGGAAATGCCATTCTTAATGTTTCCTATGATTGTCCCGTCGTTGTTACTATTTTCATCCATCATTCTTAAGCGAATGGGAAGAATGATTCTGACTCTCCTTGTCCTCCAATGGGGTCCCTATCGTCCATGTACTTGAGCTCATCTAACTCACAAATACTCAACTGTTGAAGATGTGACAATCGAGCAAAGGAAGGGAGATGTTTGAAGTTACCAGGATCCATTATTACAACAACAGTGAGGTCTGTGAGCAAAGAAAGTCAACTTGGAAATTTGGCATTACCGTTCCACCTGTTCACAACCAATTTCTTCATATTAGGATGTGGCTGGAGGTCTTCAAGTGACTTCTCTTCATCTTCATTATCACCGCTCCATTCTAAAACCAATGTTTGAAGATGCTGCTTCCCTTTCAATTAGCAGCTTTAAACTTCTCTCCCCTTAAGTTGTTGAGCTCACCCAGTTCACTTAGATCTGCAGGAGCAGCACCATGGGAACATCTTTATCCACAACAAACATGCTTAACGTCTGAAGTGAAGTCAGCTTCCTATTCCACGTGGCATATGAGTTAACCCATTACAACCAGCACACGGAAGATGTGTAAGATTCACCAATTTTTCAATCTTTTTTGGCAATTCTTCAAGTCGGTAACAATGATCAAGTTTCAGCACTTGCAAATTTTGTAACTTGCAAATACTCTTTGGAAGGATCTTAAGATCAGTATTCCAAGAAAGATCAAGGTACCTCAAATGTTTCAGCTTATGAATGGACTCTGGAACTGTATTGAGATTTAACATACCCAATTTTAAAACACGCAAGCATCTACAACTTGAAATTATCCAATCCCAAATTGAATCACTCATGTTTTCAACCCATTGAGAAAGTAATAAAGTCCGCAACTTCTTTCTCGCTGACAAAGGAATTAACGAAATGTTAATCGATGATATATGATTTCTCATCAACCTCACTTGCACTTCAGTTTGAATATAAAACACTAATCTCTCTCCCTGCTACCAATTCAGCAAGATCATGCATAAAATCATGCATTTTAAATGTCGTTCCCCAGACTTCATCTTCTACCTCTTGAAAGAAACTTCTTTCAACTAAACTTCTAAAATACCCAAACCCGATCTCTTCAAGAGATTGATTTGGATTTAATTGCTTTACAAAACCTTGTGCGGTCCAAAATCGAACACATCTTTTTGCATTAAACCTATGATCTTTTGGATAGAGTCTACAGTAAGCAAAACAATGCTTCAATCTTAACTCAACTTAAGAGTAGGCAGAATTTCACCTCCATTTTGGGATATTCTAGCAAGTTCATTATCTTTGAAAGAAAGCCACTCGTTTTCCATTTCTTTAAAAGATAATGTACCGGCTATCGCCTTTATGACTAAGGGAACTCCACCACACTTCTACAAAATCTGCTTTCCTACTTCCACAAAGGCTGAATTTTTCGAGTCTGCAGATCTTTGCTCAAATGCTCTCTCTTTGAACAAAAACATGCATTATCATCAGACCAGCCTCTCAGAACATGGGGTTGACATTTACTAGTTAACTTAGCAACCCTCAAAGAACGACTAGTTACTATTATCCTACTTCCTTTAGCCCCACCCATCAGTAACTTCTTTAAGCTAGACCATTGTTCTCTTCCCTCGTTCCAAATGTCATCCAAAACAAATATTTTTTTCCCATCAATTTTATCTCAAAGTTGATTTTTCAACTGATCCATGTCGAGATTTTGACCGGGTGCATGATTAGTCACAGATTTAATAATGTTTGCTACTATTAATTTCACATCAGAAACACAAACCCACATCCTTAACTCTAACAATCCCCACAATGGGAATGAAATAAACATTCTCTTCACTTTCAAACTCTAACAAGAGTTTTAGAAGAGCTGCTTTATCACCATCCCTCCCTATTATTTCATCTTTATGCACAAAAGAATGCGTCTGCTGCCTCCTTTTGGCCATGAAAGGCGTTTCCTCAGGATGGCAACGCTCTACCAAATTCAACATCTTGGTCTCATTTTGGGACCATAAGCAAACTGGTTTGAGTTTGAGAAGAAAACGCGTACCTCTTTCGTCAGCTTGTTCCCACTCAGCAGATCTTTCCTCAAAGCTTCAGTGTGGATGTCATCCAAAAGGTCATCGGCATTATAAAGTGCATCTTTCAGCTTTTCAAGACAGTCTTTGACAAGATTGCTACTCACAGATCGCCCTTCGGCATCAAGAAGCACAGCAGAGATTGCGGAGACGATGCTTCTGAGGTCCACGAGGTCATCTTTGAAATTCCATCATAAGCCAAGTTGCTGCACAAGAGGGGAGCTCAATGTAGTAATGATGTCGAAAGCAATTGATTCCACCATCGCTCGGTGATGCTGCTTCAAATGGAAACTAAGGCAAAGTGCTGTTGTCCATAAGTTCATAGTATATTATAAATAATTTCATTGAAGACAATGACTCATCACCTAACGCACATGGGGTGTTTCTCCCACTAGTAATAGTTGCACCGAAGTAGGCCCTTTGACCTTAGAAGACGACATAAAAGCTTTCAATGGTGCACAGCCATTATTGGTTGAATATGAAATCGTTATTTTAATTTGGTTAAACTACAACTAGAGTCACTGGACTATTAATAAAGATTAAGCTTGCATCACTCGAATTTAAAAAATTATGTTTACCCTCGATGTTTATTTCTTACTTTTGTGGACTTTAGACTTTGGCTAGGTTTGCTAAAAAGAAACTCAAGAAGGAAAATCGGAATAGAAAAGTTTTTCAATGTTGGCTGGCATTGTACTGATTGAGTCCCCATAGAGTCGTTATCTTTCGAACTTACCTCCAAACCAGAATAACAGAAGACCAAAATATGAACATAGTTTTTGAACTAGTAGGCATCTTAAATTAGAAAGAAATGCATACCACAAAGAAGCATTACAAGGTTATCGTATCGATGTCCATCAAACCAGCACAAATAAAGACTTACACAAACTGGGGAAATATAGACTTACACTTCAATCGTGTCCCTTCCTATGATGGACTCCAACATGTAATATCGAACAAGGGGACAACTGACGAGACAAACAACCAACTCACATAAAACCTTCACACTCATCTTGATCCGGGTCTCTCAGATCTTATCGAGCTTCTCCGCCCGGACCAAGGGGTTGGCCTTTGCGATAGCATCACGACCGGCAGCTTGGTAATCGAAAGGGCATTCATGTTTGTCAGAGTAACGGTGAGCAACACAGAAGAGGTTCCCACACTTGCAGTTAAATCCTGTCAAACCAACACGTTTGCAGCATTTGGTACACCTATTGGGACCCTCTTTCGACTTCATCCCACTTGAAGTCATTCCGGATGGATCAACGGTTAGTTCAGCCGAGACTATCTTTGAGTCAGCATTTCCGGAGTGTACATCCAAAGCAGCAGCCACAGCTGGTTCCTTACCATTCCCAGTTGAGCAGCCGTTCACAATGCTTCCAATGGATGCTGCTGCGAGTTGCGCCTGTTCCTGCTTCAGGATCATCTCCTTGTGACATTTGGAGCACATATTCATGGTAGCCGCACTCCCGAAGAAGCCACAGTTGTTGATGCAAAGGATGGGGCCTTCAGGGGCTTTGCACCCTGTCTCATCGTGAGACTCCATATTCTCTAATCCCCTGCAAGGATGCTACCTTATTACGAGTATTCTGAAACAAAAGGAGGAACCTAAAATAAAATATAAGAAAAAACGAGTGGAAGGGCCAGAAGTGATTCAACTCTTCAAGATGGATATGAGTAAATCTCAGTCAGAAACAGGAAGAGAGATTTAGGTACCTAAAGGACACATATACTAAGCATGTAATCATCAATTTGCACGATACAACAATATATCAGAATCAAGCATAAATGTCATTGCTAGTTGTAGAGATATAAGGAAATGAGGATAACTAGTTTATTTACGATGAAACCTTAAAAGAGGCAATACCGAGTCATCTGACAATAAAAGCAAACAAGAGAAAAAAAAACTGATTAAAAGAACAGGTACGAGCAGTCTACAAGGACGTGCGAACATCAACGTGCCAAGGGAACGGAAGCAAGCGATAACATCAAGTGGAGGCAAACGCCAATACTGCATACATCTGTCTAACATACACGATCCTTGCACTAGTTTAGCAAGGTAACATGCTGGTGTCATTGGGATGACAGGTTTCCCATTGACCAAACCTTCCAGGCAAAAATCCAATAGACGATACTACGACAATCACGTCCGTTGCATCTATTTTACACAGCTCACATGCTGAACAATCAGTCGATAGGATAGTGCTTTGTTATTAGTTTCCCATCGAGTCGTGGAACAGAAGCATCTTCGCCATTGTTAAAAGGCAATAATTTCCCAACTACAATGAAAATTAGTTCACTCAAAGCAGAAAAAACAATTTAGGGTTCTACCCTATATCTTCCGTATCAAATATTTCCCATTTTTTTTTCATTTTTATGAATATTATTAGCGTCAGAAGCAAGCATATAATCCACTGTACCTTCTAGCTCATAATTAACACCTAACATCAACAGCAAACCAAATTTAGCAAAAAAGCCCTAAAAATCCAATTGACCCAAAAAATTCCGAAGCGCAAATCAAATTATAATCAGCACAAAAAGCAACCTAAATTATCAAAACGAAGAGAAAAACTAATTGGCGAATTAAATTTCTTCAAAAAGAGGAAACAATTAATTAAGAAAACCCCTTACCTGAAATTTTATTTGGCCGATCTTGTCCGACAAAATCGAACCTGGGGGTTCCTATTTCATGCAAATTAAATGAAAAAAACAAAATTTAAAAATATAAATATTAAAAATTCATCCCTTTCTCATATCTAATTTCCACCAAACTTCATTCAAAAAATCAAACAACCAACCCCCCCAAAAAAAGATTAAAGTTTCGCATCATCTAAATAAACAAAGGGAAAAAAAACCCATACCTTAATCGAAGAGCTTATGTATAATAATCGGAGAAATCCAGACGAGGAAGACGATCTGTAATTGTATGATTTTTATTTTTTATTTTTTTGAATTTCGATTTTTTCCTATTTTCCTTTTTGCTTTTATTTATAAAGACCGCAACTTTTTCGCTGCCAGCGAATGCTTTTCCACTGAGTTATTGATGCTTGACTCACTGCAATTTGTGTCATTAATTTTTTTATATTACGTGGCTGTTTTTTATTGGGCAAGGAGTTTAGAAACTAATTGGGCTTGTTTAGCCCAAATCAAATATTAGATTGTTGAGTTTTTTTTAAAATCTATTTTAATTTAATTGTTTAAAAAATTATATAGTCACCGGTATCTGATCTATAGATTGACTAATCTGGATTGAGTACAGCAAAGTCAACGGTGACTCTACTAACCCAATTTCCTCCATTTACAATTATTAGGATTCAAACCACTAAACTTATTTAAGAAACCTACTACCTCGTGTCACTAGATCAAGTAGTTCTTGTTATCGTTTAAATTTAATTTATTGTATATTATATTGATTAGTTTTGATAATAATTATATTAATATATTAATTATAATTTATAATTTTATATACTAATCTCATTCATTTTCTTATTTTTTTGAGTTAATTATATTGACTTTTACCTCTACTTAAATTTTAAAAAGATGTTTAAAAAATTTCAATTATGGAGCTCGGTAATTAAGAAAATATTGATATTCTTTGAAGTTTTAAGGTTAAGCATCATGGATATAAGCATAGAAGAGTGTAGAAAGATATTTATGATGATAGAGTATTACTCTTGTTGAGAGTTAAATTCAAGACTTCCCGCTTATTAAATGAGTGTTCTAACCAACTGAACTACGAGAGTTAATTAATAAATTTAACATGAGCTAATTAATAAATGTAACACGAGTTAGAGTATAAGAAATATATTTTAGATGAGAGATACTTTGTTATTGATGAGAGTTGAACTCAAGAGTTAAACAAGTGCTCTAACCATATGAGCTATAAGAGCTAATAAGTAAATATGACACGAGTGAAAGTATAAGAAATATATTTAAGATGAGAGATGCAATAGCTTGTTCATAGTTTCAAATAAAGTTATTCTTTAAAATTCTTTACCTAAAGTGCTCTTTAAAAGTATTGTTATGGTACATTATTGTTTTGAAAGATACTTAAGATAAGATAAGAGAGTAACACTTTGCTTTTATTGAGTGTTAAGCTCAAGACCTCCCGCATACTAAATGAGTGCTCTAACCAACGGAGTTACAAGAGCGAGCTAATAAATTTATCATTAATTAAAGTTTAGAAAGATATTTATGATTATAGAGTAATAATTTTTTCTTGTTGAGAGTTAAACTCAAGACCTCTCACTTACTAAACGAGTGCTCTAACCAACTGAGCTACAATAGCTAATTAATAAATTTAACAGAAGTTAAGAGTCTAAAAAATATATTTCATGAGAGATGAGGTAACTTGTTCATAGATTCAAATAAAACTATACTTTAAAATTCTTTATCTAAAATGTGCTCTTTAAAAGTATTGTATGTTACACTTTTGTTTAAAAGATATTTAAGATGAGAGAGTGACACTTTGTTCTTGCTGAGAGTTGAACTCAAAACCTCTTACATACTAAACGGATACTCTAATCAACTTAATTACAAGAGCTAATTTATGAATCTAACCTGAGTTAGAGTCCAAAAATGATATTTAACATGATAGAGGAGATAGCTTGTATATAGACTAAAAAAAGTTATATGAGATATAACAAATCAACACTTTCTCCCTTGCTAAATGGGTCCAACGCTTGATTCTTGTTGTTATCTACATGATGTAAGAGGAAGGCTATAGATAACAATTTAGAGGCCAAAAAGGAAATGAATGTAGACAAAGCTTTCTACCATTATTGCATAGCATTACAATATACAACCAGCTCAAAACATTTCTAAAACTAGCATCGATCAAATCTTTATATTCCAACCTCAAATGTCGACAAACTAAAAGATTTGATGAACATTTAAAACCATTTTTAGAAGTTCCAGATAGAAGTAGGAAAAGCTAGCTCTTCTTCATAAGAGTGATCATCATGAACTTGGAAGCTGGACTCAACTCCTCCATGCATGTCAATCATAGCGACCCAGTTGAAATTATTCTCTGCGAATGCTGCAAAATCATCGTAATCTTTCATTGATGAATCCATTGCTGTTGAACTTTCTATATTATCGTTATCATCATCTGATTCTTCAGATTTCTTTTCTTCCTTCTTTATCCCCAGCTGCTGAAGAAACTCATGCAGATCAATCTGCGGCTTCTCCTGCGAAACCTCGACGTCTTTCTCCTTCATCCGATGATCTTCTGATGAAGACGAGCTCGGTTTCGAAACCCCATTTTGCTTGAGTTCTTGGAGCCGCTGGTGAATAACATGAACGCTCGGTTGAGCGTTGATGTTGAGCAAACCGGTAGAAGAAGGGAACATTGAGATGAAGTTCTTGGAAGGGATCCACTTGAACTTGTGCAATCTGTTGGACGGGTTATTGATCGGGACTTGTTGAAGGTGGGGGAGGTTAAGGTAAGCTTCGGAGCCGTAGAGTCGCCTCGCCGCCTCGTCGTACGCCATGGCGGCTTCCTCCGCGGTGGCGAAAGAGCCCAACCAGAGGCGGTTTCGTTTCTTGGGCTCTCGTATTTCGGCCACCCATTTGCCCCAGGTGCGTTGGCGGACGCCTCGGTACTGGCAGGAAGCGTTTTGAGGGCCGCCTTTGCCTCGGGTTGGACCTTTCTTCCACGGCTTCAATGGCGATCGTTTGTAGGTGTCCATGGGGAGGAAGAAGATGATAAGAGTGGAGTTGAGTGAGTGAAGCATGGGAGTGAAAGGCGCGGGATTTGTAGGCAATGGGAGAAAGGTGTATTTTGGTTTAAATGTTTTCACGTTCATTCAAGCTCTTGTGACCGTTAGCAGGAGCCAGAAATATTTTTTCAAGATTTTGTCAATGGAAACCCGATATTAATTCATTTTAGACCGGAAGCAAGATTCAATTCATTTTCTAGTTAAAATTATTTGGGTTAAGTACACAACTGGTTCCTTGACTATAAGATACTGATTTATTGAGTCCATCGACTATTAAAAGTTACAAAATGGTCCTCTGACTATACGGAGTTGCTTTAGTGAGACATTTGATTGCTAAAAGTTATAAAATGGTCATTCGACTATTAATTATGTTCTAAACTAATCCATTTTTGTTAAAATCTTGACGACAATATGAGCTATACGTTAATATGTTATCTGAGATATGATAAAATTTAATCTCATAATCTCAAACGACTAGCATATCTCAGTCAATATGTTAACGTCCAACTCGGGTGACCACTAATTTTTTTAATAGAAAATGACAAGTTTGAAATATAATGAATAATCGAGTGATCATTTTGTAATTTTTAATAGTTGAGGGACTAAACAAAGCAAATCTCTATAATTAGAGGACTCTTTTATAACTTTTAATTATCAATGGACACAATAAAATAATATCTTATTTGTAGATTTTACCCAAAATATTTTAAGTTTAGATTATTTAAAGTTTTAATGTCAAAAATTTATTTTTAATATTTAATTAAATATTTATTTTGATCTTTAATTCTTTTTTGAGTGTTTTATTGTACGTTTTATTTGAAGATCAAAGGACGCCTAACATTTTATTAAAAAATTGCTTTAGTCATTATTCTTTGTTTTGAGCGTATTTTGAAACAAACATTTCACTTTATGACAAAAAAAAATCTTATTTTATTACGTTTATCATTTATTGACTAATGTTTTCATCAATTAATTAGTATTTTTATTTTAAAATAAAACGTTGAGATCATAATGCTCCAAAAGAAAAATATATATAAGCTAAAGTGTTTATTAATTTTTTTTTCTCATTATGCTTTATTTATTAAATTAGAAGTTTGAGTCTTTTGAGATTTGTTCATAAAAAATATATTTTAATGACATCTATTAGAATTATTGTTATTTTCGAGTACTGACTTGATGTTATAATGTTTCAAGTATTGGCTCGACGACATAATGTAAAAGAAAAGTCGATTAATCTGAAATCAGATTTTGATCATATTTCAGTCCACATATTAACGTTAAACTCGAACGATTGTTGATCTTTTTATTAAAAAAGACGAGTTTGGAGCATATAAATAGACGAATGATTATTTTGTAAATTTTAATAATCATAAAATTCAGTAAAATATTATTCTATAATTAAAGAATTATTTTATAACTTTTAATAATCGAATAAAACGGAATCGTTGAGGGATGGATGGGGGTCGGAGAAAATGTGCCTAGGATTCTATGAGGAATTTGGAGTGTAGTAAATAAGTGAAAAATGTGAATAAGTGCGTGCGTGTAGGAAATCAACCTCACAAACATTGGAGACATTCACGGGCCAACCATCACATGTTTTACTGCCATTCTCCACACCTGATTCCCGCCCTCCACCTCTTTCTCATGCCCCCCCCTCTCTCTTTTATATTCCTAAAGATTTTCACATGTTGAATTGGTATTTAATACCACTATTCATACACTACTATTTTGACTACATTCCCGTCCATAAGGTCAGGTCGAGTTTGGGTGAGGGTGAAAAAATTTCAATTCGATTTGATTCGGGGATAATAATATAATTTTCTTAAAAAATATTAAGTCCTTATTTTATATTAGGTTATGTTAGGTTAGGTTAGGTCGGGTCGAATTTATACCCTAAAAATTTGAATCAAGTCGGAGTTAGGTGGAAGATATATATTTTCGTGTCGGTTTAACTATAAACCCGACCCTAACTCGACATGTTGTCATCCCTAGATACATGCTTCTCATTCGAATATAGTTTTCTCACTGTGTTCGACTCTAATTTACGCTTGACAGGTGTCTTATAGTAGTTTGATCACATATTGGGTTTGTTTGTTGATGTAGTCAAATCTATTCATATCTATTTTATGTTTGAGTTTTTGTATAGAATTTTAATTTTTCTCTTACATGTTCCTTCAGGATTTCATGTAACTAATTTATAGTGTTAATGGTTATATGAATATATTATAATTTTGTGTTTAATTTACTATCAGAATCGTAAATCTTTATAATAATTTTAAACATTTTAAATTTTATAATGAAACTACTTCTATTTATATAAAAATTGGTTGTGGTCACCTATTAATGTATAAAAATTAATCCAAAAATTCAAAGTAAGATAAAATAACAAGATAAGTAAATAACCTATTCTCCCATCAACTTGTAATGTCACGTGTCCACCACCATGCTAAGAGTTAAATTTCGTCATCGACTGATTCCTTGGGGTCGGTTTGGTTACTTTGGGCCTAACAAATTCACAAGCTTGGGAAAATGGCAGAAAATATTGCCCAAAGTTTAAATCGACTTATTTATAGTTCATACTATTTGATAGGGACCAAACCAACAATTATTTCATTTAACTAAGGGCCGAAGCTTTTTTTGCAATACTTTGTAAAGGTCATGCTCGAATTTAAAAGTTTTAGAGATAGCAACCATTATTTAATCACTAAAATCGTTTAACTCGTGCGTGATTGGGTTTATATTTAATGACGATAGAAGAAAAAATAATAGATACGAACTTGACCCTAATTTGATCGAATTAAGTTTATATTATTTTTTGTAATGACGTTCTATCTCACCTAATCTCGTAATCCTTTGTTATGAATATTTCTCCCATATTTGCCTACTCACACTTAGGATTTCAGGATAGAGTAATGGTTAATCTTTTTTTATTAAATAGAGATATATTATATTTTAGAGTAAAGTACATAAATGATTCTCTTACTGTAAGGTATTACTTTATTAAATCTCTCGACTATTAAAAGTTATAAAGTGATCCTCTGACTATATGTAGTTGATTTGTTGAGTCCATTGACTATTAAAAGTTACTGACCGAGATACAATAAAATTTAATCTCATAATCACAAACGACTATCATATCTCAGTCAACATGTTAACGTCCAACTTAGATGGTAGTTATTTTTTTAATAAAAAGAACTAGTTTGGATGAAAAAAAATAGTCGAATGACTATTTTATAACCTTTAATAATCAATGGACTCAAGAAAGCAACTCTATATAGTTGAGGGACCATTTTGTAACTTTTAAAAGTAAAGACACTAAATAAAACAGTATCATATAGTCAAGAGACTATTTGTGTACTTGACTCTATATCTTACGACAAATGTCGGAATTCAAATTCAGACAAAATAAAACAATATGAGTATGATTGACCACTCGATTAATTAATGAGTCTCGACTATTAATCAATCTTATCTACCTCGCATACTACTCATCATGGAACTATTCACAAAGTTTGCAAAAATGGGACACCTTAGGCATAATTCGTACGTTGACTTTGATGCATTCATCAATCTTCGTAAAAACGTGTTCCATCCTTATCATGATTCGGTAGAGTTTTGGAATAAACATTAAATTTCTTCTCAGTGGTAGTAGTTAATTGCTGCTGTAAGATATCATTGGGTTTTACTGAACAAAAATTGTATAAAACCCTAGCAATATTCCTTATTCATACACAATTCATCACCGTTACCAGCCTCAACAAGCTAGCAATACCTATCCCATTTTAAGTTCCTCGAAAATGGCCCGAACCGCAACAAGAAATCTGAGAAGACGTCATCGGCGGCGGCGAGAGGTTGAAAGAGATAGCAATACGGGATCATCGGTGGTTAACGATGGTGTTCATACTTTGCAGAGTGACAATGGATCATGTTGTACCCCAAAGGGGAAAAGGTTCGAAATACCGGAGATTTCGGTCTGTCCTCCGGCTCCGATGAAACCCAAAGTCGCTCCGAAGCTATCGTCGAGTACTAGGAACTTCATTGCTTCTCAAGATGTGGAGATCTTCTTCTTCCTTGCATTTCAAAAATGTCATTAGTTCTTTATCAAGTCTTCACGTACTTCAGCTTGTTAGAAAGGTCTAAATCTTTGATGTAATGGTAATGGATGATGCGTTTTCTTTTATTTTAACAACTAACACTAGGATGATCCTTAAACATTTCAATTCTAAAACTCGAGTCTAAAATTTTAAACCCTAAACTCTAAATATTATTCTCTAAATCTTAATACTAACCTAAGCTCTAAGGTTTTGAATTCTAAACCCTAATCCAACCCTAAATATTGAATCTTCTTGATTTTATTTATTTATTTATTATTGAGTTACTATTTGATGCACTAATGATATTCGATTAATCAAGTGATGGTGTGTTATCAAAAATAAATTTTCGTTCGACGTGTTTCATCATCTAATTTATTAACGATGAATAAAATCATACATCACCGCTGCATCTAAAATTTAAAAAAGAAAAGTAGTAGGTCAGTAGTATGAACTTTTAGGAAGTTATATTAAAAATTTAAGAGTTATGAAGTCACAAAATTTTAAAGAATACAAAATATCCAAATCATATTAGAATTTGAAATTTCCAAAGCTGGCACCCTTTCGACTCATCGTAACATTGTTGATTCTTATATAATCTAAACTTCAGAAATTATAATGATCAATTACTATAAACATAGGGACCAAAAATCAAAACCATAAAATAACAATATCTAAATAGGCAATAATGCATATGCATTCAAAAAAAATGGGAAATTGACAACTGCATGCATGTTAACGATGCTATCTGGTAAAATTCAAAAGAAGAAAAGTAGTTGTTAGCTGTTGCTTTCTGCTTATAAAATTAGAGAACAAAATTTAAATTATAGAGTTTTAGTTGGGGTCAACTCCTTAAAGAAAAGTTACTTTTGAATGAGAGCTTATGTATTCATTCAATATTCTTCATGAACTTTTTCCTCTTGACAGGGACATTATGACCATTTAATGACTAATCTTATCTCCATAAAATATAATGTTGGTGCTAGCTTTCATGCACATGTTAGCTTTGTTGTGTTTTATTTGACAACACAATATTTAAAATTCACGAAATTATACATAAAAATTCATTATTGGTAGGAATTTGGAAGCTTTTCTCGAATCTGATGGGTTTAGTGTTTGTTTGAAAATTTAAATGAAGAGAAGGGATCTTTCGATAAGACAAATAATAACATATCTCGAAACCAGTCTCATCAGACGATCTTTGAAGAAGATGAGAACATTAGAAAGTTGAATCTTTAAATGAACTTTCTTCAATTTAATTGGGTTTCATAGAAAACAAATTCAAGAATAAGAAAAATAATTGAAATGTGAATGTTTTGGAAGTTATCTTACTACAAATGAAAAGAGATGACGACGACAACTGAACAGCAACGATGATCAAAGGAGTTGACGATATTATGTGGAAAAATACTAAAGAAACGAAACGACCTCCTTATCATGCTATTAGCGATTGAAGGGATGAATACCCAATTGATCCCAAAACCAAAACTCTCTTACATTAAAATATTTTAAAATTCAATACTAAAATCGATTCAAAATTTAAAGTTTAATGACTAACTATGTTAACATAAAATTAAAGGGTAAAGTATACAAATGGTATCTCGACTATAGGATACTACTTTATTAAGTCTCTCGATTAATAAAAGATACAAAATAGTCTTTCGACTGTAGATTATAATTTTGTTAAGTCCATTGACTATTAAAAGTTACAAAATGGTCACCCGATTATTCATTATGTTCCAAACTCGTCCTTTTCCTTAAAAAAAATTGACGTTGTCTAAGCTGGATGTTAATATGATGACTGAGATGTGATAATCGTTTTAGATTCTGGGATCAGGTTTTATCCCATCACAGTGAACAAGTTAACGCTTAGCTCAGAATACTGTCAAATTTTCAACGAAAAAGGACAAGTTTAGAACATAATAAATAGTTAGATGATCACTTTATAACTTTTAATAGTCGAAGGACTCAACAAAGCAACATTCTAAAGTCAAAGGACCATTTCATAACTTTTAATAATCAAGAGACTTAATAAGGTAATACCCTATAGTCAAGGACTATTTTTGTATTTTAACCAAATAAAAATGTAGTGGAAAAAGGAAGAAAATATTTTTGGCATGGTGTGTACGTTAGAGGAAAGTGGCAAGGGAATCCAATGTAATAAATACCTTCAAGTGAACATATTGGTTAATTATGCGTTAGGTAAATATATAAAAATATATATAAATTCAAATAATCTAATGATAATAAAATAACAAAAAAATCATTTACTACTGATTATAGTTATATAAAAAAATTAATTTTCTCTCATTGATGTGTCATTCATCTCTTTTATTTTTCGTCTTTGTTAATCGACATTGACATCAACTTTAATGTTGGTTGCTAACCGACGGTATTCTTTATTGTCATTTTCTTTTCTTATATTGCATCTCTATTTTCTTTTTCTTTTCAGTAAGTCTGTTTGTATGACACGTTTTCATCTGTCTGTATGACATGCTTTCTTCTATCTTTTGGCATATTTTTCAGTCGTTTGGTCGTTTTTTCATTTATCTTTTTCTAAGGGTTGGATTTGGATACCCGATTTGCATTCGTGGATAGCTTTTCATGTCACTCGAGTCTGATTTGCGATTTATCGATGGTCTTTCAATAGTTTGATCTCCTTTTGTAGTTCATTTGCTGATGCACTCAGATATGTTTGTATCTATCTTTAATCGAGTTTTTTTGTTAGATTTTTAATCTTTCCTTGTATGGTCCTTATGTGATCTTAAGTTACTAGTTTTGTTTCAATGGTTATAGAAAATTGTCCTAATTATGTGTTTAATTTACGATTTTAAATTTTCATTGTAATTTAAGATATTTCCTATTTTGAATAAAATTAATTACTTCTAAAAAAAAATAAAATAAAAAAACAAAATTGCACACAAATTCAGAACCCTAGATAATTAGAAACAATACTTAATTATATTGAATATACAAAATAATTTACAAAAAAAAAGCCATACTTTAAATATTATATAACAATTCTTGACACAATCAAATCATATATGAATATAGCTGCAACAGCTCCCATATTCAAATTGTAAACCAAGAGCTCCAATCATCTGTTAAACAAGAAAAAAAAAAGTATTGTTTTAATTAACATATAGTTTTAATTAATGAAAAAATTCTTGTTTTTAATTTAGGGTAAATTATGCGTTCAATACTTAAACTATTATTTTCGGTCCTTTTTAATGCCTAAACTTTTAATTTTTTTCAAAACCATACCTAAAATTTAGTTTTTGTTTCATTTTAGTACTCATGTTTAAAATTTAATGTTAAGTTTTGAAAAAATTAAAAGTTTAGGTACTAAATGGACCAAAACTGATAGTTTAGGTACTAAACGGACCAAAACTGATAGTTTAGGTACTAAACGTGTTAAGTTTTTAACGAAATGTACTAAAATGAAACAAAAAACTAAATGCTAGATATGATTTAAAAAAAAGTTTAAGTACTAAAACGGACCAATTGATAGTTTAAGTATTAAATGCGCAGTTTACCCTTTAATTTATTTTCATGCAGTCCTGTTTGATCTGTTAGTGCAGCACCTTCCTCTCGTGGCCGATTGAATTATCACCTGACCGATGCCTTCTCCGATCCCCTCGATCAGCCCGCCGATGAACTCGATCACCACTTGTGAATCGACCCTCACGGCGGTCGCCACCATGCTCGGTTTATCCAACCCTTTGATCTCGTTGGCTTCGAGTCCGTTCACCATGTTCTTGGCACACACCGCGTGGAGATGGTAATCGCAGACGGTGCATTGGTACACCCAACCCGACCTGCGACGGTTGCACTCGCTGCACACAATGCCGATAGGGTCCGAGCTCGGCGACAGGCCCGGCAAGAGGCGGAGCGTGTGCAGGTGGACCGATATGTTGATTTGGGTCGACAACATGGCGCAGCATGGGTGCATTTGGATTGTGCAGGCGTTGCATTTGAAAACGCAGCCTTTGGTGGGCTTGGCACAGATATCGCACCGAGATTTCAATATTCCACCTTTAACTGAAATTTCAATATTTTATCATAAAATTATATCAATAATATTAATATTATTTTAATCTTGGGTAAAATAAACCAATGATCCCTCAACTATAAGATACTACTTTATTAAGTCTCTCGACTATTAAAAGTTACAAAATGATTCTCTAACTATAGAGTGTTTCTTTGTTGAGTCCCTTGACTATTAAAAGTTACAAAATAGTCACCGACTATTTATTATGTTCCAAGCTCGTCATTTAAAAAAATTGACAACATTCTGAGTTGAACGTTAACTTGTTGACTATGATATGAAAAAATGATCCCAGAATCTCAAACGACTATCATATTTCAATAATCATGTTAACGTCCAGCTCAAACGAACACCAATTTTTTAACGAAGAAGGATGAATTTGGAACATAATGAATAGTCAGGTGACCATTTTTTAACTTTTTATAGTTGAGTGACTCAACAAAGCAACACTCTATAGTAGGAGGACTATTTTATAACTTTTAATAGTTGATGAACTTAATAAAGCAATATTCTATAGACGGGGATCATTTATATACTTTACCCTTTAATCTTTTACTTTTAATTCAAAAAAATGAATTTTTTTATTTCAAAATTTATCAAAAATGTCATATGATTCTATTACACATTACCGCCATACATAAAAATAAATTACAAAATATCATAATAAATTGTCAAAAATTATATTACAAAAATTATCACTTTATCAAAACATATATAATATCTTAAATATTATCATAAATAAAATATGCTAATACAAACATGAATTAATATCTTTCGATATTTAATTATGTTCTATCTTTGTATATATGTATGCATTGGAATCTAATTCCCTTTATTAGCTAGCTATGCTATTCTATTATTATTTTTGAAAAGTAAATATATTTTCTTTCAAACCTCCATTGCATCTATATTTTTATGTATGTGAATATATGGATGAATCGAGTAGTCGTATTTTTGGAAATTTTAATTCTTTTGTAATTTAGAATTTTTTTATATTTTTCATTGATGATTTAATACGTACCTTATATATTTTTGTATTCCTTAAATTTCTAATGTAACTTCTTAAACGTTGATATTAGTATACATAAAATTTTGTATTCGTTCTTATATATATAGCGTTAGAATCCATTTATACCCAGTATAATATTAAAAGTTTTACATTTTTACAGGACCGTTGAATTGAAAAAAATCAAAGGTTAAAATTAACTTCTTGTTTTTTTTTCGGTGAGCATCTTCTCATTTTCCTAATGTTAGTCTCAACCTTTAATTTTTCATCATCCAACGATCCTAAACAAAACTGTAAAACCTTTTGGTTTTACACTATCTAATTATATTCTAACATATATATATATATATATATATATGCTATTGCATTATTTGATATATATTCTTTCATAACCCCACTGCGTGTATATCTTATGTGTGTAAGTAGGTAAAAGTGAACAATTGTAACTCAAAATTTTAAATTTTTATATAAATTTAGATATTTTTTTATATTTTTATTGATAATTTATTTTTATCTCTTAAAATTTTATAATTTTTTCCTCTTAACATAAAATCTTACGTTTGTCCAAATCTTACGTTTATCCACGTATGTACGCATATATATATATATATATATATATACACACTTATATGTGTGTATATAGGAATCTAATTGCCAGTTAGCTAAGCTATTGAATTATTATTCTTTCAAACCTACATTGCTTGTAATATCTATATTCTGAAGTGTAAAGTTCATTTGACTCTATCATGTTTAGTATTTAAACTATTAATTTTGGACCATTTTAGTACTTAAACTTTTAATTTTTATAAAATCATGCCTAAAGTTTAATTTTTGTTTAATTTTAGTACTCTGCCGTTAAAAACTTTACTTTTTGTTTCATTCTAGTAATTTAACGTTAAATTTTAAAAAAATGAAAGTTTAGGTACTAAGACGGACCAAAATGGATAGTTTAGGCAATAAACATGCTAAATTTTTAACAGCGAGATATTAAAATGACATGAAAAGTAAACGTTAGGCATGGTTTTGAAACAATTGAAAGTTTAGGTACTAAAATGGATCAAAACTAATAGTTTAGATACTAAATGTGTAGTTTACCCTTTTTGTTAATAGAAGTATTGTGGATATTTATTATGCAAAAAAATGAATATGTTAATTTTAAATTCGATCGATTTGAAATCGTGACAGAGTAAAGATAAATAAATTATCGAAGGCATAAATTATTTTTGAAGTAATTAATTTTCTTTAATAATTTTCATATAAAACTTGCAAAATAATTTTTTAAAAAATGGAATATAAATCGACATCCTGATCTTACATGTAACTCTATTAGTGATTTAATTTAAAGTAACTCCATTTTGTTTCTAATAATTAAATAAAAATTCAAAAAAATATTTATTATGAAAACAAAAGTAATTAAAAACATATATGCTACGTAATTACACTTAATATATGCTACTTAATTACATATTTACGAGGGAAAGATGAAACAAAGAGAAAGAAAATACCAGATTTAGTGATGAAAACGATGTTGTGAAGAGGGTGAATGGGATGTCTCTTAAGAGTTGCAGGAGCCAAAGCACAAAAATCATGGAGCTGATAGTCACACTCGGTGCACGAGAACCGTTCGCCGGCACCATACTCCTTGCATGCACCGCATGTGAAGATGTCCGGCAAGCAGGTCTGCGTGATCGGGTGCTGCGGGTGAGTCACATGGAAGATACCGTCCCCCATAGGAGGAACATCGGGCGCCGTCGGGAACAACTCTGCCGCATGAGGCGACCTCCGGCTCGTCCTGACGGACTAAAACTGATAGTTTATGTACCAAATGTATAATTTACCCTATTTCATAACTTTTAATAGTCGGTGGACCGAATAAAATAACGTACTATAATTAATGAATTATATTATATCTGTTATAATCAGAAATCAACAAAGCAACTTCTTATAATCATTTTAATTTTTTTTTACATATTTGCATACGCATGTAATGCAAAGATTTCTTCACTTCACTGTATAAATATATATATAAAAGAAAGGGAATCAAAATCCTTTTAATATTGGATGTGTGTAAAAACAAGCAAATGAAATGAAGAAAACATGGCAGCCTTTTAGTTTATTTAATATTTCTTTTGAAAAGAAATGGCTGCAGCATCATGGAAAATTTGCTTGTAAATACAGAATCTTTGTACATAATAGGTTACCTTTCTCCATCACATTGACTAAGCGTCACCTTTGATTCCCCAATTATTTGCTTCTTTTTTGTGTGTTTTCCAAGTAATTCTTCATCTTATGTATCCCTAATCCTTGATGCAATACTTGTAAAATTTGAGAACTTCACAATTGAATTGGATAGCAACTGCATTGAATGGTTTGGTGATCGTGTTTGTGCTGATTGCCGGGTTTACTCATGCCGATCCGTCGAATTGGAAGCCTTTTTTTTACCAAATGGAGCCAAAGGGGTCTTCCAAGCAGCCGCGGTCGTTTGCTTCGCTTACGGTGGATTCGATAACATGTGTACTGCATTAGTATAAACTCCAGCTAGCCTGCACATGGGAGGGTAAACAAAATATTAGGAGACAATCGACACACAGACTACGATGTATGTTATTCCGATTCTAAAATTTTCTTTGAAGTACTTGAGTCCTATACACATTAAGCTATATCGAAACGAAATGTGTCGGATGCCAAAGACTAGTATTTTAAAGAGGAATTCAAACCTCTCTGCATATGGGACACTTCGAATCCGGACTCGAAGCTTTAAGTCCTTGAAAGATCATAACAGAAGTAGCAGAGCAGGCACAAGATTTGCAGAAAAGATGACTCCGACATGCTAGATGAATTCCTGCAAAAGATGACTTCTCTTGAGCATTTGGAGATTAATTAACTTCCAAAGCTGGTGTCTCTTCCCATTTCCCTTCAACATCTTGTTCAGTTGAAAAAATTAGAAATCAAGAATTGCAGTGGATTGAAGTCACTCTGTCCAGTGTTCCAACATCTCACTTCCATTAAAAATCTTCAAATAATCAACTGCACAGAGCTTGAGCTTTCTGCAGATGGCATCCAAATATTCCAAGGTTACACCAGCCTACTGTATCTACGTCTGGAAAATTTTCCAAAGTGTCGGCATCTTCCTGAGTGGCTTCAACATGTCACAAATCTTAAAGGGCTTCATCTCATTGATTTGCCTAATTTAACATCGCTTCCGGACAAGATGCACTGCCTAACCAGTTTGGAAGAGATGGATACGTCAAGTGCCCCGGTTGGAGAAAAGATGTGGGATGGACAATGGTGCTGATTGGCATAAGATTGCTCACATCCCACGCATTTGGGTGAATGGGGTAGGTGCCCTCCAATCCTTCCAATCATTCATATATTTATTGTGTTTTCTATTATCAAGCTGCGATTGTATCTCTTACTTGTTTTCTATCTTTAGGTTCGGGTGCAATACCTACAGAAGGGCAGTTGAGTATTTCTGGGAATTTATACCCAGAGAAACCGGAGGTAGTTTATCAAATTGCTTTTTACACTTTGAAAGCATAATAATTAACTGCAAGCATCTAATAACGAATGTTCCTTTTTGTCAGCATGAGCTCAAATGAAATATATCACTAATTGTTTCATCATCACCACATTTTATTTGCAGGAAATTTGAGAAGATGTTCTTGTCATGCAATTATCATCTTTTTTCGAAGTTCGTAACGTCTTATTGCATCAAGTTTCAAGAAGAAGAAAAAGACTCATCTTTTGTTTAAGAAAAATAATAAATGCAAAAATAAGTGCTCAAATTATACATAAAGTTAGCTTTAGGTGCCTAAAGAATTTTTCGTTAAAAATAAGTGTCAAACATTCTCGACGTTACATTTTTAAGTGATTGTCGTTATAAAATTATCCTCTGACTGTATAGTATTGCTTTGTTAAGTCATTCGACTATTAAAAATTACAAAATTGTAACCCGAATATTCATTATGTTCCAAACTCGTCCTTTTTTATTAAAAATTGACGGCATACAGAGTTGAACGTTAACTTACAAACTGTGACATGATAAAATTTGATCATGGAATCTCAAACGACTATCATGTCCCAATCATCATGTTAACGTCCAGCTTAGACAACCGCCCATTTTTTAATGGAAAATGACGAGTTTGGAACATAACGAATAGTTGAGTGACCATTTTGTAACTTTTAATAGTCGAAGGACTAAACAAAATAACATTATATAGTCAGAGGATCATTTTGTAACTTTTAAAAGTCGAGGACTTTAATAAAACAACACCTTATAGTCATGGACCATTTTTATACTTTACCCTAAAATCTTATATTCCGGGTACATGACTAGCGCCAACTTGTGCTATGGAATTTTATTGCTTTATTAAGTCTCCATCACAGGGCCTACAAAGCATATGCCAATTGCCAACTATTTCCATTTTGGTACCTTCAATGGAAAATTGGATCTGCAAGTTGATTTTCTCATTCAATTTGCCCAAGGGTTTTATGTTAATCATTGGTGTTAGTGTCCAACTAAAGATTGGCATTAAGATTATCATAACTACTCGTAAATTGACAAGTCGAGTAGACCATATCAAGAGTCTTGTCAAGAAAAGATTTGATCGTAACGTACAAAACTCTGAAATCTATGGCCGAAATACGGAAATCCTTTCCGAATATTGTTTGTAGAGGAAGTCCGGAAGAGGTATAACAAACTCAAATACAGCCTAAACTCGAATAACCTCGATAAATTTGTATCGTTTAATAGAATCGCAATCGATCGCTGCTCGAATGAAAAATTCTCTCGCATTGCCCTTGTGGGAATACTAAAATGTTACATTTTTCATTGTTAAACAAGCCCAAAAAAAACTGAGTGGGGAAAGAAGGGGGAAGAAATCGCATGCAAATGAGATCTTAAAACACCAGCAGCAGAGTTTGTATCATAGTTAATAGAGATTCTTCAAAATCAGCTAGGCATCGTATGGTGTTGCAGTCGTTAGCTAGGCTTATGAAACCCATTTACGTGATCCGAAAATGAGTCAATGGCATAAACGTTCAGTCCTCTGGTCCGACAAGGTGCCCCACATTTAAGCGAGGATATATCGAGAACGGTCCTAATCAAACAACCGCAAATTCTTAGTTAAGATCCCCAAGTAAGTTGTGAGAACTTCATATGAACTTACGAATTCTTTGTTGCATTTCCCGAGTCCGGGGCCTCACACTTAATAAGGATCTTATCATCGATCTTTGACACCGAATAGTTCGGAGGCAGATCGATCCCTTTGGGTGCTGCATTTGAGATTACATATATAAATCATTAGTCCACATGCATTGAAAGTAAATTGGGACAATGGTAGCCTTCTTACATGGTTTAGTGTTGGTTGGTGCACTTCCACCTAGTCCAAGCAGTTTCTAAAACAAAAGTCGAACTCATCAGATCAGGTTATACGAGCAAACTGATATGCTAGGAAATGGATTACGAAAGAATTTTAAGATGAATGTGATAGTTCAAGGGGAACAGAAGTCACCTTAAGATTCTCGTAACACTTCTCAAGATTATCGTTGCATAATATATGATCGAAGATGCCCGAGGATTTCCCTTGCTCGATTTCTGCCTCGGCGTTGCGGAGGCGCTTTTGGACTTGCTCCTCTGTTTCAGTCCCCCTATTGACAACATTTCTACATTTAACAATGCTTGGAAAATAGCATAATGATACAAAACATCAAATGGACGGTTATGATTGACCTTAAACGGAGCCGCTCTTCTAGTTCTGTCATCGAGGGTGGACTGATAAAGATGAAGACGGCATCGAGAGAACTGACCCGCACAGACTTTGCTCCTTGAACATCAATGTCAAGAATGCATCTCTAGATTTAAACCGAGACAAAAAAACTGAAAAACTTGAATGTGGCAAAGAGATAATTTGGAAGCAGAAAATGCTACATTTACAAAGTGCAATGTTTGGAATTGATTCGATAGTCCAGAGTAGCAATTTTTCGATGTTCAACTCTCGGAGCAATATATAATCATGATCGATAGAATTGTAAATGCATAACGTTTACCTTTCCCGAGTCCGCTACTGCTTCAACTGCTTCGATACTGGTTCCATAGAGATTTCCATGAACAGAAGCAAACTCAAGGAATTTACCATCTTTGATATCTTTCTCCATTATACTTCGCTCGGTAAAATGGTAATGAACTCCATTCTTTTCCATCCCCCTCGGTGCACATGGCTGACGGAAAATCCGAACATGGATGGGAATTCCTTCATAAGCATATTGATTAATGTCCCCTTGCCAACTCCGGAAGGACCAGAGATAACAACCGGCAACTTGGCATCACCAATCACGCCCTTACTCCAGGCAACAACTTCAGTCCCCGACGATTCTCTCGGTTGCTTAACATATTCAGTGTCCACCTAACGGTATTTCATTCAGATCAAGCACTTTCAGGCATCAAAAGAGAAATGAACTATTCCAACCAAAGCTTAGAACGATCTTAAGCTTTTCGAAATACCAACCTCGAGAAACCAAATGCAGTCCTCAGGGGTGGAACCCTTTATGATAATCAATATTCGATCTTCATTCAAAAGAACGGCCGAATGGCCTTCATATGGCTTCGGTTTCGTTCCCAGCACAGTAGGAATCACCCTGAAAATACCACTACAAACATTTCAACTCAAAACTCTAAACCAACACTTGGTAAAACAAGCTCAACGAGTCAAACTGCGATAGCGGTAAAAATCAACGGCAGCAAGATCAGGAGCCGTAAAAAAAAGGTTCCCCACATCAACTAACCATTCCCCTCTAGATTTGTCATAAATGTGAACCTCAAGGGATGCTGCAGAATCATTGCAACCAATCACAAACTGCCAAAGAGAAATCCAACACCAATACTCAATCAGAAAAAAGTTGTTTGAAACATATCAACAAACACAATAAAGACACACAAATCATAAAGCACTTTATGAGGGACAAAAGCACCAAATTTAAGCATTAAAACATCTTACTGTCTTGTCCCCAACATCAGTACATTTCTTGAAGCCTTTCGATCTTAAACCAAATCCATTTGAAAATCCCTCCTTCAGATCCTCAACAAACAATGCCGGGGCTTCTCCCTATAATGATCATAACACAACCACAAAACCCAAATCAAATCACAACAATGCTAAAAGTTCTAACTATGTGTGTTTATATACATGTGTACATACATACATACATACATACATACATACATACATGTGTGTGTGTATATGTATGATGATTTTAATGGCTCACCATGGAGAACAAATGCCTCCAATACAATTATTCAGCCTGGTAAACAGACAAGGAGAGATAAGGGATCAAATCAAAATAACTCAAATTTCTTGGATCTATCATATAATGTAAGCTAAAAGATAACAATGAAAACCTAGATTTCAATCTAGGTCATCAAAATGCAGGAAATCAAAAAGTATAACCAGGCAAGAGAAAATAAAAAGAAACAACAAAACAACCCAAATCTCAAAACCCAGAAAAAAAAAAGATAAAAATATCTA